AATTAAGTTGAGAGAGAGGACGGGGCTGCTCAACAGCTCCTGAGGGCCTCCGTGCCCCGCAGGCCCGAGAGGCTGACCTCGGTGCACCTCAGTTTCAACGTTCGGAGCATCTCAGCATCTGAGCACCCAGCATGTCGGGGCCAAGGGTAGAGACGGGACTGTGACCACCCACAGCTCTCTGGGGGAGCCAGGACAGGACGACCTGCAGAGTCCCTGGCCATGTGAGGGTCTGTTGGCACGGATGTGTATGTGGGGGAGTGTGCACGTGTATGTGTGCGTGTGCATGTGTGTGTGCATGCCCAGGCATATGCGTTGGGTGTGGCGGTGGTGCTGGGCTGGACGCAGAGAGCTGGACCAAGCCCTTCCTGTCTGGACCCTTCCTGTTGTCCTCTGGGAGTGATGAGGGAGTCCAGGCCCTTCCTGTGGTCTGATGGGAAGTCATGCCAGGTTCTGCTGGCATCCTTGAGGACTGCCACTCAGAACGCTCCTGTCCAGGGCCGCCTCCAGAGTGCCTGGGAGATGCCTGGGAGACTGACCGTACCTCCTCTGCTGGGTCCAAATCAGCCACTCAAACCCTGCAAGGGGTTCTGAGTAAGGCAGACGTAAAATGCCACCTTACACGTAGAAGTTTGCTTAGTAAACGTGAATGTGATGAGCACCCCAAATAAAGCCGAGTTCGAGGATAGTTCTTTACCCTGGGCAAGAACTGACTGGCTCTACCTCGAGATGCCAAGCACATTCACTCGGGCAATCTGCTTCTTGACATCTTTCTCTGTGAACTGACCCATTCTACGCAGGGAGAAAGGACGGCCTCTCTTACTGTCCTAGCCCTGGGAACTTGCCTCCCAGACTCAACTCCGGGAGTCTGAACCCAAGCCCTCAGGTAATCCAAGCTAAGCTCACCCTCTGAAGTAAGAAGACTGAAACCAGAAATAGGAAAGAAGAGAATGAATGTGGATATCCCTGGGTATTATTCACTGGGAGGTGAACTCGCTCCTCTGAGGATGAGCAAACAGCTGGATCTGAACTGACTGCTGATTCAAATGCCACAGCCATCTTTGAGCAGGAGGTGGGGGTGGTGAGGAAGATAAGGAAGGGACCGTTGGTCACCAAGTTCCACTCCCTGCCAGCACCATGCCCCCAGCACTTCCGGCCTTAGGTCATTTAACCCTCATCAACCTAGGGCACACAGAGGCGACATCACTGGGTCCCTAAAGAGCAGACTTGCCCTGGACTTGAGGCCAGATCTAGGACTTAGGCTGGGCTCCCCAACTGATAGTAGAGGCCTGTGTCTCCACACGTCACAACCAGCCCTTTCTTCGGTAACCGCTTCCCCGCCTGCGTGTTCATACCGGTGATGTGGAAAGAGAATCAGCTCCAACCCTAGTTCTGATTGGCTAAAGCCAGTTGGTGCAGGGGCACTTGTCATGGTAGCCCCTACCCCAGCATGGCCTTACTACTGCCTCTAGCATCCACAGTGAACGGCGCTGTCCTTCAGTGTCCAAAACAAATTCTGTAAACTCACAGGATCTCATTACCCTCATTTTCAACACCCCCTCAGAAATCTCCATGTCCTCTCGGGAAGTAGCAAGACCCAGTTGCCCTGTGCCATCTTGATAGGATCTGTTCAGAAAAGGGCAGCAGGCAGAGGTTCCCCAGGAGGCCCTGTGAATCCATACCCAGGGCCCAGAGCCGTGGGTACTCAGGCTCCTGGGTCACTTATGAGGGCAGAGTGGTGGGACTCTGAGACCCTAAGGTTCAGTGGGCAAAGACGTCCTCATGGCGCATGGGTATCTTGCCCTACAGCTCCTCAATGGAGAGAGGAAACCCACAGCCAGACGCAGGCTCCCGGCTCCATTGCACTTCCGTCCCAAGCACCACCTTGGCTGACATGCTGAGGGACACGGGCCTGAACACTCCCAGGGCCAGACGGGCATCAAAAAGGTGCTACCAGGTGATCCGTGCTGAGCATGGGGACTGACCCCATTTGCCACATGGGCTGGCCTGAAGGCCTTCTCCTCAAGGCCACCGAGCTGATGGCGGAGGGGCAATCCAGGCCGGCTCACCAGGCTCTAGGTTCTGCCTGCTGAGGCCTAGCAGCTCTGGCCCACGGCGCCTCAGGGCCACAGGCACAGGCTCCCTGACTATTCCTCTAGGCAACACTGGCAGCGTTTGTGTGCAAGGCCCTCTGTGGGGCCTCA